GCATCACTGTTTGCTTTCCCCAGTTCTTAATCTTTTCCCTGGGCACCTACTTAAAGCTGATGGTGAAATTAGGCTACTGGAGCAGGTGTACCTTTGATCTGGTCCTTCTTATTTCTGAAATATCACAGTAACCCCTAGGTGGCTAGGATGGAGGCACCAGGAGAAGCACAAGGTTTGGGAAGGAAAGATTTTGCCCTTTGAGTCCCCTGCTGTAAGCACTGAGCCCAGCACATCTCCAGCTCTCCAAATCTCCAAACCAAGCTGTTTTTCTCCTAGCTGCTCCCCAATAGCCTGCTTCAAGTAGTTTTTCTTCTCAGAAAACTGTTGTTTCTTGTCAGGGTTTTCTCTTCCAACATGCTACTGTTTGAACTGTTTCCTGAGGGTGCTTTGACTGGCTGCTTCTGTGACTTGGACAAGCTGTTTTTCCTTTTTTTTTTTTTTTTTTTTTCCCCAATAGCTGCTCTGCGATACAAATGAAAGCCTGTTTGCATTCAGCCAGCTTGCTGTAAGTATGAAAGTCAGAGGAGTGGGAGGCTGGAGCGTATTGTTGAAAACTTTCCAGCCCCATCCATACTTGTGTCGCACTAAGTTAAACTCTCACCTACTTAGTGACATGCAGCTTATATCATCTTACATAGGAGCTCTGACTCTGGCCTGCTAAATTGAACCTGAGCTTGGGAGACTTAAATGTCAGAAGGCTAGAGCAGGTCAGAGCAGCAGAAGAGCATAAGTTAAAATTGGCCCTACTGTGAAGTTCGTGCTTTACCGTACACAGATGCTATTGCCTTTGAAGAAACACTATTGACCAAGAAACACTATTGACAAAGAATTTGCACTTTCTCTTGAAAAGATTGTGGAAAATGACAGATGAAATCATTAGACAGAGCCATTAGAGAAAAGTTTCTTTTTTATTTCAGCTTATTTATCCTCTTGCTGACATTTGTTGTGCATTTGGTCAATTCCTCATCTCTTAGTTGATGTGGTTTTGTTTTCTAGCAGAAAGCATGACTGTAAATTCACAGCAGTAATAGTTAACCCAGGGGTCTTAAACTACTTTTCCTTTGTTAACATTTTTTTGAAAGAAGCAGCGTCTTGGTGCTGGTTTAGAGAAGGGCCTGTATTTGGTTAATAATTAAAAATTCAGTGTAGAATAAGTTAACCTTACTTAATGTAAATTTTGGATGTTAATAGGAGTCTGTGGTCTGACTTCTGTTTCTCCCCTGAGAATGCATACATGTGGAATAGAAAACTTACTTTGTAATGTATTTATCTAAATATTCTGGCTGTTCATTAAGATTGTTATCCACACCCAAGCGATGTATATTTTTGGAGGAAGAAGGTGGAAAACCTCGCCTTCTAGGAGATGTTCTTTTTGCCTCTGAGCACATTTTTGATTTTCAGCACACTCTCCTTGTACGTTGTTTTGGTTTCAGAAGGTAATCAAAACCCAAGTGAACTGGGTAAAGAATTCGGTTGTGGCCTAGAATCTTTCTTTTCATGGATGTGCTACTTAAGTAAATCTTCCTGTGCTGGTGGTGGATAAGAGTAGGACTTAATCATGGACTTAAAACCCTTGGAAATTATTCTAGCTAAAAGAGCAGAAAGAATAACTGTGTGTTTCATGGCCTGGTTACTCATGCATAAATTTGCCTGAGATGTCTGATTTGTAAACTTGGAGAACAAGGAAGAGGAGTGAGTTTGAGCTGCTTTTGAGGTTTTGTGGCCAAGGACCTTGCTGGTTTCCTTTCCTGGAGGTTTTGAGGCCAGCAGTGAGTAAGTGGGGGTTTTGGCTCTTAGTGATCAAAAGCACTGTGTCAAACCTTAAGAAGATGAAAATATGTCAAATTGACATTAGTCTGGTATATAGTTTAACTGGATCATAATTCTGGCTCTTTTTTGAGCTTGTAATTACATCCAGAAGTGGACAGTTTTCAGCTGTGTTTGAATTGTTGCTTGGTACTTGCACATAAAAAGCTACATGCTAAATTGGTTCTCAGTGTGATCCTCACATGGTTTCTTCAAATTCCAACTTTAAAACACAGTCTGTTGTTGAGCATGCTTGGTGTGTCTTTCTTGCCTTCATGAGGCTCTTGAACTGTTGCTTTCTGACTCCAAAGTTTGTTGTTTTTTCCCCAAGATTGCCACAGGAGAAATTCTGAAGAAAGGTTTTGGTGAGACTCTTGGAGAATGTGCAGTAAGATGTGAAGGAGAAAGAAAATCGTTGTTAGTTTGGAAAAATAAAAAGAATCCATTTGTATGCCAGGTCTCAGAAATCTTGTCCAAGCTGTTGTGTCACTGTTTCAGTGCACACTGTTCATGCATGCATGCAGCATCCATTTCCAGCATTGTTTTATCAGCAACACTGAAGCTCCAGTCTCCTCCTGAGACAAGCAGCATCCTTCTGGTCCAAAAGGAAAGAAGGAATCTTAACACTCACATCTCTCATAAAGCAGAGCCATTTCCCATTTCTAGAAAAATGCAGTGAAAGAAGAACATTCTTCTACTTGTGTTTTGCAAGACTTTGTGAACCTGCTGCTTCCTCCTGCAGCAGTGGGTGCAGCCTCTAACTTCATGGCCTCAATGGCTGGCCATGGCTTATATCAAGGCATAAGCATGAGTTAAATGCATAAAAATTCAGTAAATTTAGTGGCATGGAGTGAGGGAGTTTCAGACCAAAGTAGGCTTAGAGGCCGGGAATGGAAAGATGCCTGGGTTAAAAACTGATTTTTTTTTATTGTGTTTTTTTTTTTTTTCTTTCTTTTCCCTCCTGTCCTGAGAATGAAGGTGCTCTGTTTTGTGACTCAGTCAACCAGAACACTTCCTCTGGACGAAAAAGAGGAGCAGAGGGCAGGGACAGACTGCATCGTTTCGTTCCTGATGCCTCAGTGAGAGAGTAAGGCTCAAATCAGCCCCTTGGCCACATCTCATTGCTGGGGGATGCAGGTCTCTAGGGAACAAGTCTTGGGAAAGACACAACAAGAAAGAAATGTAGTAGTCATTAAACTGAATAGAGAGGGGGCTGTAAAAATGTTTTACCTATTGTTTTTTTTACAATCTTTTTTTCATGGGAAATTCTTCTTAAAAAAGAAATTAGGCAGAGGATGCAGCTGAGGCTGCGATACCTCACTGCACAAAGGGAAACTCCTCTGTGCAGTAGGAAATACCATAAATGCATTCCCTGTGAGGTGTAACCATTGTACACAGCAAATACAAAACTGAACTTTTCAGGAAAAACATGAACCTTCAAATAGAATCCATGGTTAAAACAAGTTAAATTGAATCCTTTTCCAGCAGCAGAAAAAACAACCAGCTGTACTGTGTGGGTCATTGGTTAGTTCCTCAGGCAACTCCCCAAGGCATTTTGTCTTTGTCCTTGTGCCTCTGAGCATTTGCAAGGAGAAGTTGCAGCATGTCCTGTGACTTTGCTAGCTTTGCAGTTTGCAAGGCATCAGAAGTCAGATGATTTGGAAAAAAAAAAGAGAGGCTTGGACATACTTCTGTGTGTTGCTGTGATCCAGGGCAAAGGGAGTAAACCTCTTGCTATCTGCTTATGCTTGAAACATAAAGGCAGTAACTGCAGGGTGGAAATAAAAGGCGAGTCAGGAACTGAGTTACCTATCTCTAGTGTCTGGCTGACTGCCTTTGGTACAGTGCTGAGCAGTGATTATGAAACTATGCCCTGCGTTTACGGATGTCACTTGTGATTTGCAAAGCGACGTGCCGGAGTGGCAGGCCTGGCGTGAACGCCCTGCTTCCCTCCCCCTCTGCAGCCACCACCCGGAGCCCTTCCAGATCATCTGAGGAAGGTCGCAGGCACTGAAGTGAGGATTATGTGGAGCAGAAGCAAAAATGGGGATGATTTAATATAGCTGGATGAGAAGGAAAGACAAGCTCTGTCTCTCCGTCCTGGGAGAGGGAACTTAGCATTTCCCTTTCTTCGAGAAATTTGTGTCAGGTGGAAGTGTCTGCACATGGCGCTGCATTTGCTGGTCCTGTGTCCCCATTTGTCTGTGTATGTCATCCTGGCATGGGCTCTGCTGATGCTCTGAAGCATCCGTATTGTGGTTGGCATGACTGCTGCTTTCTGACTTGGTGGCGTATAGCTTAGGGCTTTAATAGAGGTTACGTGTTTGCTTATTCCTTAGTTAAGAGTGCTCTGTAGAGAGTTCAGCCTAAGTCTCAACGAGGAAAAGAGGAAAATTTGTGTCTCTTATCTCTTAAGTGCTTCTAGGGAAGGATAATATTGCTAGTGAGAATCAAGTATCTTGGTTCCCAGTTTCCCAAAGGTGCTCCAGTGCTGATGCAGACCTGAAGGAAGGTGCCTTACATGTTACAAAGGTGGCTGGAGGCATTTGGAAGCCGATCTCTCTCTGTCCTGGCCCTAGTGTTTAGATTTTAGATCTACTCATCATTTGCAGGCATGTTTGAGGTAGCTGCTGTGTCTAGCATTTGAGCACACTGTGTCCCTGAAAGAGTGACCTGGGGTTTGGGAGGATGCTTGACAGAGAATACAATAGGGTTGCTTCCTCCTATTCTAAGGCTCTCGTTCACTAGGAGATCATTGGATTGCCTTAAATGCGCTTCAGCCTGACATGGAGTATGTGGAAACAAAGAGGAGTACTGACATGCTGTCAGTATTAGGGGAGAGATGGAGAACATTCTTATTCAAAGGGTTATTCAGAAGTGAAATTTTAAGAGCTTAACTTAATTCTATCAAGTAAATCTGTGTTAAGGGAATACAAACTGCCCAGCACTTACCAGTGATGTTGAAAGCAGGTAGAACATGGGGTAGAACATGTTCTTCCTCCAAACTAAACAAGTCCTCAAACATATCAGTGTCTGCTGGCCACTGAGATCCTTGTGTAGATGTGTCTAAACTTGCCCACGGTGTTTTAGGCTGCTCCGCACCAGCTAAAAATATCTCACCCATTTCCCCTGAGCCATTCCATCCAGATCTCCCCAGAGTGTCCTCTTTAAGCAAATTGAAGAAGCTAACTCACCTTGAGAGAATCCCAGGAGGAAGACGGGAGGCCTCTAATCCTCTTATAAAAAATGCAGGAACAAAGACCAGCAGTTCATGGACTTGCCTGAGGCTCCGAGGGAGCAGGGAAGAAGGCAGGAGCTGGGGCTGGCGGCCGTGGGCCATACCATGGTGTGAGTAGAGCTGGTTGCATGGGACCATCACCTCCAGGGGCATGGGGAGTCCCCTCCCCTCTCGTGTTGCCACGTCCATCCTGCCAGAGGAACCACACAGTCCCAGAGCGAGGCCCCGAGTAAACCTCAGCTTTCCATCAGGGTCAGTACCATGGTGAGGAAGAGGCCAGACAGTCAGCCTTGTCACGTCCCCTTCGGATCTTACACAAAGGCTTGTAATTACATTTGGGTTGAATTTAAATAATACATGAAAAGCCAAGTCTATGACCGTGCATTTAAATACAGCAAACGCTCTGCTTTTCTGGTTTAGTGAGGACTGTGCGAATCAAAAATACCTTACTCATCTGCAAAAAAGGCTTAGTCCCAGCAAATCACAGCTTTAATTACAGGAAATAATCATAAACTACTTTATATGCAATTAAAGATACTTTCTTTTGGAGATATTTTTGTAATTTGTATTTTTTCCTAAAGCCGATTATCCAAAATATTATACTCTTTCATGCCTGCAGTGCAACTTTGACTTGCATATAAATTGATTTTTTGAAATGAAACTTTCTTTATGTGTAATTGAAACTTGAGACTGTTTTAACTTTATCTAGGTAATTGATTAATGGGTCAGATTGCAGCTGCTGGTTAGTAGCAGCAGCAGCTAACAGTTTTATGGTACGGTTTGCTCGTTTAGATAATTGTATTAATTTAGAATGTAAATTGACACAATTACAATGGCATTTTTTAAAATGTCAACATCTTTTATGTTAATGTTTAATCAGCCTTTAATCGAATGCTGAAACCATCTGAAACAGAAAATACCTTTCATACTGAAATTTAAGATAAAGCTAGTCCAGAACTCATTAGTCTCATGGGAAGACAGATGTTGGACCACGCTCATAATTTTATTTAAAAACATCTCCAAGGGCATCAATGTATAGAAACACAGCAGCTCATGAAGGACAACATTCAGATTCGGGCTGAGCAGTGGTGCTGCCCAGTCCTTCATGGCAGTGGTAGACTTGAAGACTGGGAAAAATGTGTCCTGAAGGATATTTGCCCTCGTGGTAGCTACAGTCCCTGATGTGGGAAGAACAGAAAGGAGGAAACCTTGTCTTCTTGTTCTTGACGTGACAATTTAAGGAAGTTCCTTCACCTGCATTGACTATCTGTGAGTCAGAAACAGAAGCTAAGCAGACATCCAGGAAAATGGCACGATCCTCTCTGCTCAGCAGCGGGCACAATGAGCTGTGCTGCTTTTAATCCAGGCTCTGACACCCACATTCCTGCCCACCTCTGGCCAGGGCATTTATGCCCCGTATGAGCACTGGGTAGCATTTCCTAACTCAGCTGTCTGCTTTAACAAAAGAGATCACCTCCAGGAGAGAAGGGCACAAAGGTTGTCTTAGGCACTCACTGGTCAAGGGGGAGCAGTAGCACCTTTCAAAGAAATGGTATCTCTTCCCAGAAAGCTTCGATATCAGAGACACTTGATTGCTCTTTGTAAATTCATTAGATAGATAAAAACCAGGCACACCCATTTAAAATACAGGCGACTGTTGGCAGAAGAGCAGCAGATCTGCTTTGACTTGGGTGAATCTCAGCAGGAGGCTCTCACTGCCAGGGAGCTGGGATGCAGTTCTGGGGCAGGGCATCCTCTAGTGTGAGCAAAGAGCTTATTTCTGAAAATCAATCAATCACCTCCTATGCCTGATCGCCTGCGAGGAATGGATGTGATAATCCAGCAAAAATCATTGGTCCAGCGCCTTCCTCCTTAGTGAGAACGTGATCGTATTATTGATATATATGGCTGGACGATGGAAAAGCTGTCACAGTTAGTAGAGGCCACCTTGGGAAGCCTCAGCATGCCCACGAAGTCAACTTCACGAGGCCACACTGCACCAGCAGGCAGTGCCCCCATAGATGCAGGGCTGCCTCAGGCTCCCCGGGGTGGTGCTGTGGGAGCTCGTGCACCTCCGTGAGGGCTGCTCATGCTTTTGGTAAGTCCTGGTTTGAAATGCAATCTGGGGAATTTACAGAATCTTTTAATTCATCTGTCAAAACCATGCAAATGTAATTATAGGTCAGACTTGGCAGTAAGCTCAGACATGGCATTTTCCCTGAGCATTTGTCTTTGCTGTTGGAAATGCTTCAGCCAATAAATCTGTACTGATAATGCTGATAGGGGAAAAAAAATCACTAACAAAACATAGTTTTACAGGTGGTTTTAGGTGAATTTTCCATCAACTTTATGTGCCTGTGCCATATCATTATATTCTTTTCTCAGCCATTAACTTCTGCTGTGAAGCGTGAGATGCTGGATTCCTCTTGGCCTTGCCGCGTGCATCTGTCACCCCTGCACACGTCTGGTTAGCACGTCTGGGGGTGCCACATGGCTCGTGGAGGGGACACAGAGGTGGGGAGCTCCTGGTGAGAAGTGGAGGTCTTGGAAGAAGCCAGGGAAAAGACGGGTAACGGGGGGAGGACACGGTGAGCTGGGGGCGGCAGCTGGAGGAGCCAAGAGACAGGATGTGGCTCCAGTGGCTCTGTCTGTACTTGATGCAAGGAATACCACGAATGCCAGTGGTAATGGTATCTAGTTAAGGAAATGAGAGCTCTCTAGGTTTTACTTTCTTAAAGGCAAATGGCAATGAAAATGTAGCTGTTGAAGGAGAGAGGCACAGGCTTCACTGAAGCATTTAGGTGCCAGTTGGGAGTGAGGGTATCCAGCTCCACTGGGCCCTTCTTTTCTGACTTTGGGCAAGTCATTGATCCAATAAGTACAAATCAACTGCTTCCATTAATTTTTACTGCAACAAGGCTACATTAGGATAAAATAGATCATTATGGCTATGCCGATCTAACAACCCAGCACCCATCTCTTTTTATGCATTTGTTAAAGACTCACTAAAACAGGAGGAAATTAACCTTGGCATTGGGGAATGAGAGGAGAAGGTGAATAGCTTCACTTTATGCCTAGGGGGGGAGATGACTAAATGTGGTTGGGATGGGGGAAAGAGAACCAAGGAGAAATCCCCTCTGTTCCAGCTGTGCTGAGCTGTTAGATTGGATGAACCGTAAATGTGTATTTTCAGCCTTAGCTTAGCTGTGGTTGTAACCCTTCCATCTTTGCTCTTCCCATGGAGTCACTGCTGAAGCTCTTTTACTAATAGCAGAAATCTTTATTCAGATACAAGCACAACCATTTGTTTCCCTTGTCCCTCCAGAGACACGTGAGTAGATCCCATTTAAGTAATGAGAGTGCTGCACACCTAATTAGAGACAGAGTTAAGCCCGCAGTCCTGTGCCAAAATGCTACATCATGAACTAAAATTCATGGAAACTTAATACGGAGTCACAATTTATTTGCTATATTTAAATGAGACTTTCAAAATTAAATGAAAGCCAAGACACCCAATAAAAGCCTGTAATCCAGGCTGTAATAATAAATCACATACTGGGATTCTGGTGCAGATGAGGGTTAAATTGTGAGTGCATTGACATTAATGGCATAGCGCCTCTTGACTTCAGTACATCCAGGATTTCTTTGGTAATACGCTTAGAGTCTTAATTTACTAGCAAAGTAACTAGTTTGGGATTTCCTGTTCCTCTCCACCCCCCCAGCCTCTGATGATGTGATCAGCTCCTGGGACAACACTAAAATATCCTCAGCTGGCTCTCTCTGTCAGCACCAGCCTCCTCCTTTTTTTCATCTCCCTCCCACAGTCCCGTCTCTGTTTCACACCGATCTGTCAGCAGCTCACACCCTCATCAGGTGCACTGGCTTGCTGGGCTTTTAGACACATCTTCTAAGAGGAAAAAGCTTATATGACTGTCTGTCTTTTTGTCTGCAGTCCTCCTCAACAACTTCCCTCGGCCAATTTTATTAAAGGAGAAGAGCTATCCTAAAAATCACTGGGCGGAGGAGGCAACCCCAAGCAAGAGCCAACCTTGGGTGCTCCAGACATACCATGCCTGGGGCTTTTCCTTCCCCAGGGATGTCACAGGAAATTTGGGGGAGTTGGCGTAGTCCAGGTGGGTTGGTGAGGAGGGTTTAGGGGTCCATGGACAGGAACCAAAGGCAAAACAAACTTCAGAGTTGGGTGCTTTGCAGGACTCTTCTTTCACACCCCCCGCACCCTACATTTTTTTTTGTGTGACTTCATCTCCTTCCATTGAACAGTGGCAATATGATGATCTTTGTCAAAGGGGCTGGTTACGTTTGTTTAAGAGGTGATTATTTAAGGTGGTGACAATATAATAATTGATTTGCAATTTTTTCTCTGCTTTGTAAGAGATGTGAGTTTCATTTCAGCTAGCTGACCATAGAAGCACATGAAGGGAAAATAGTTAATAAGCAATAAATATTAGTATATGGTGATGAAATTGAGAAGACATTTCTTGATGAAAAAAAATATAAATCTGTTATTAACTTATTATGCAAAAATGGTAATTCATTTAATGCCCTTGGAGATGCATAGCAATATGGAAACTTGCATAAATGCTCCAAATACATAATTTTAACTATTTCTGTACTCAGTTATTACCATTGGCTTTTTGCACCGATATTACAGTACTACAGAGGTTAGGCAAGTTTCTTGTGATTAGAAGTTAAGCATATGAGTGTTTCTGCAAAGTTTAAGGAGAGCCAGAGGGACATTGAGCTGACAACTGAATAACAAATACCTTCATTTTCAGTAGAACTGAGAACTGAAATGTTCCTTAGAAGGTTGCGGACAGGTTTCATGGACAGCGAATGTGCTGTGGACTGATGTATGAGCACCTTTTGTCTGCTAGATCAGAGCATAAATATGTTTATTCTTATATATCACAGTAATGAGGGCAGTGCAATGGCAAGAAGGCTCATGGCTGACCAGAAAATTGACGGGATGGGGAGAAAATTTATAGTTCTTTGATCTTGTAAACCAAACTTATATACCTGAAATTAGGGTAGAAAAAAGGGATGTACCGGGAGCAACAAAAAATCAGATTATGGTGGTATGTTACTGGTCAAAAGGAAAATTGAGTGCCTATGTTTACTCTCTTATTATTTATTTTTTCTATAAGGAAGTATTTTATTTTATTTTGTTTGGTGGCTAGGGTTCATCTGTAACCCAGTTTGCTTTCTCCACCCCTGTGTTTTGGCTGTGCCCGTGTCAGGAGAAGGCTCCTAACACCCAGTTGTTCCTGAACAAAGTCTTTGTTGCCTGCAAGCAGCAACAGAGAGAATGATTTAGTGCTTATATGGTGCCTCCTTTAGAGATGAGCTTCTGCCTCCAAGGTGTTCCTTCCTGATCATTATTTAATACCCATTTTATTTGGGACACACACAAAAAAGCCAAAGAGAAATGGGTACTGTTCTCCACATCAACTGTTTGTGCCCTGCAGATACGAGGGGAACTGTTCCTTTTCCACGGGAAGAGCAGCCCAGGGGCCTTTTAGCCAATTACTGCTGCAGCATGTAGACCACAGCAAAAGAGGGATTACTTCTGCCTTCCGCAGTGAACATTAGCCACTGCTGGGCTGCACAAATGGACTTTTTATATTTTATGTACTTTGATATTCTAAGGAAATGAGAAGTCTTGAAATGACAAAGCCCTAGTAATAATGAGGTGAGTTATCAGCACATGGTTATTATCAAGGGCATTTTCCTTTTACACTTGTCTATGTTAGAGACAAATAATGTCCCTTGTTTGCCTTGGAAGGGAAACCATTCAAGTTTACTCTTGTCAGATTGCTGGGAAGAATAAAACATTATTTGCAGAAGATGACCTCATTGAATGTGGCCCACCAGTTTTGTTCCTGGGCGCCGCACACCGTCATGCCTCTTGTCCCGACTGAGGTTTGTCGAATTCCACCTTCAGTTCCTTGGCAGGTTCAACTGCTGCTGCTGGCAGCCATTTCTGCATTTGTTGCCCCTGGTAAAGATACCTTATTTGTAGTTAATCAAATAGTGTAAAAAAAGAAATGGTTTTGCAACCATTACAGATATCATTTATAAGCCAAGAATTATTTCAACAATGAACTGCAGCAGTTCTGTAGAAGCCAGTGAACCTGGAAGTGAAAGACCACTGTGTCCCTTAGATAAGAGTGTATTAAAGTCTATCCCTCTTTATGTCCTTGTGTCCTTCATGCCATACTGAGAGCAGACTGACCATAGACAGATGCTTATGTAGACCCAATTAATTGTAAATAGACCATGTACTCACATTGTGTACGATAACAGCTGCAGAGGGAATCTGTAAATCACTGTTCACTGTGACTTCAGCATTAATCTTATTTTCATGCAAAACCCTGTAATCATGTTCCATACATCAGCCAGTGAGTTTTCACTGAAAACAGCCAGATGCATAAGGACCTTTGTGGTAGCACTCTGCGCCTGAGTCACTATCACAAGCATAGTGCCATCTGTTTGAAGGGTCTTGCAACCTCTTTGTTGAGTTTCAAGCATGAAACCACATTCCCATCCAGTGAAACTATGGAGTGAACTGATATAAGACTTTGCAGTGTTACACTACACTTACAATGTAGTGTTACACTACAAAGGAGTGTTACCTTATGACTTTATAGTGCCAGCATACTGCAGAACTTATCGCAGTACACAAATAAGCATTTGAGCTTTCAAGAATTGCATATGATGAGTATTAGTTTAAACTTGGTTAACAGCATGGGTAACGTGGCATAGCCTATTTAGGCATCTATGTAGCCTTGTCCCTGACTACTTTAAGTGTAGATGATCTCGGGTGCTTGTAGATGCCAAGTACAATGCTTTTCTGCAAGATTTGTATTAAGCATCTCAGTATGCCTAGCAGCCTTTACAACAACCAAGAAGAACCTAAGTGAAAATAGGAAGATTCTTAATCTCTGATAA